GAAAGATGAGGCTTTCTGCTCCTGTAAAGATTTACAGCCTTGGAAACCCTGAACAAGGTCGCTATGAGTCGGAACTGACTCACCGACACTTAACACCAACAACAAAGGCAAGAAGTTACTGGCTTACAAGCTATCAAGAGGGAACCTAAATCCAGAGGGTGCGGAGGAAGGTAGAATTTCCACTGAGTAGTATCCAATCTGTCTGGGTGGGACTGATGAAAGGAGATGGGGAGATGTCTCTTATGGTACAACAGTGAATAATTGCTATCAGGACTGACTGACTGTGAGGGTTGGAAATGTTAAGGTATATGTTTTGTAGCAAAAGGATGGGAGTGACTGACTGCATACCAGGAGTGGAGGTTCCTGGGACCATCAAGGGAGAAGAGTGGAGTGCGGGACCCTACCCAGAGAAACAGTGACACCAGAGATGGAGGCAGACGTGGACAGATGGAGTGGCTGGGGACTCTGAGCTCAGGGAGGGAACGGGGCTGTGTGCTGATGACTGTGGTGCAGGCTTGCAGGGTATATACCCTTTGGTTGGTTGATGATGCATGGAGGAGATTGTGACCATGGCAATGAAACGATAGACAATAGGATGAATGTAAAGCTAATATTCTCCCATGTAAACTATCATATAATTCACAATAAAACATTTAAAAAAAAATAGAATCGAGAAACCATGTTTTCTGATATTCATTTCAGAAACCAGATGCTTTACCTGTTAGTTTTGGAAGAATCACCTTTTCCACAATGGTAGGTAGTAATGCAATATCTACATCATCTTTTTCTTGCTCTTGTTCTTCACAACCATAAAACAACAAAGATTCAAACCACAGCATACTCTCAAAGTCACGACATTTTGCCTACAAAATATCAAAAAAGAATATCCAAACATTTAAAATATGACTATTTCTATTTATAACCACAATAGATTTGGTTTTCCATTCATGACCCGGTAAAAATTGGGCAAAATATAGGAAATATGTTTTCAGAGAATGGACCACAGGTTGCACAGGACTAGGATCCTTAAAAAAAAAAGTCAAACCAAATAAACCCTGGACTCAGGACAACAGAGCAAGGTGGTAAATCTCAAGCAGAGCACAGCAGTAATGCGGAGTAGAGGCAGCTGAAAGCTGTGAGACAGGGAGGGAGCTATGCAGAAAATATACCCTCCAGAAATACACATAGTTATGTTCTGTACTGTAAGACACATATGCACAGGGAGGGAAGCCACGAGGTCAGGCAAAGAGCCAGGAGCTACAAGGTGAATGCTCCCAGAGCTCACATTTATTTTTGTTGTGTCTCCCAGTTTCCATATCAGCCTTTTCTTTATGGTTTATGCATTCAACCCAGGTAATCTGGTTCATGCCAATGGTTCCACCCATACGTGGGTTAACTTCTTATAGTGCTGTAGGTTAAGCATTCAACCATTAAGGTCAGTCTGAACCACGAGGTCAGTGGTTCAAATGCACCAGCTGCTCCTTGGAAACCCTATACAGGACTGCTATAAGTCTGGATCTACTCAATGGTGCCCCGCCCCCCATATGGTCTCCTCTGTATATAAGGAAGCTTCAAACAGTGTATGGAAAACTGTAATGAAAAGATTATGGAATACACTAAAATGTCCCATTGATTCTACTGTCTTTGCAAAAACTAAGAAAACAAAAAAAAATTTGTTCTTCGGACAATCCATGGTACGTACTTACAATATTCTTCTCCAATACTCATAACTCAAATGTATCAATTCTTACTGCCTTCCTTATTCATCGTCCAACTTTCACATGCATATGAGGCTACTGATTAGGTCAGGAACGCCTTTGTCCTCAAAACTGATCTCTCTGCTCTTGAACACTTTACAGATCTGACTAGCGCAATACATCATTTGATTTCTTGATTGTGGCTTCCATGAGTGTTGATTGTAGAGTCAAAAAAATAATGCTCAGAAAGCAAGACTGTATCATCTACATATCGCAGGCTGTTAATGAATCTTCCTCTAGTGTTATCTATAGCTTGTCATGATCCACACAATTGAAAAGTCTTGCATGGTCAATAAAGCACAGCTAAACATCTTTCTGGTATTCTTTGCTTACAACTAAGAGTCATCTGATGCCAGCAATTATACCCTTCGTTTCAAGTCTTTGAATCTAGCTTGAATCTTTGGCAGTTCCCTGTCAACTGGTTTTTAAGTTCTGCTCTTTGCACATTTCATTATTGTATATGACTGTCTTCTCCAGCTGCCCTTTGAAATGTTTTGTTCAGCTTGTTAACACCTTCGATTCTTCCATTCACTTTAGCATCTCTACGCTGCATAACAAGTTTCAGAATCTCTTCTGACATTCATTTTGATCTTTTCTTTCTTTTCCGTCTCTTTAATGGCATATTGCTTTCTTCCTGTATGCTTTTCTTGAAGTCAGCCCACAACCCTTCTGGTCTTTGGTCTTTAGTGTCTAATACATCAATTCTGTTTTTGGGATGGTTTCTAAATTTACGTGGGATATGTATAAGGTCATATTTTGGCTTTTGTGGACTTGTTCAAATGTTCTTCAACTTCAGCTTGAACTTGCATATGAGCAATTGATGGTCTGTTCTACAGTTGACCCCTGGCCTTGTTTGGCTTGACAATAATGTGGTCTCCTCCCACAGATGTAGTCAATTTGGTTCCCGTGTATTCCTTTGGTAAGTTCCTTCCATGTGTATAACAGACTTTTATGTTGTTTAAAAATAAGTATTTGAAATGAGTAAGTCATTGGTCTTGAAAAATTTTATCATGTGATCTCTAGCATAATTTCTACCACCAAGGTCATAATTTAAACTACTGACCCTTTCTTTTTCCCAACCTTCACATTCCAATCACCAACAATTATCAACACATCTTGATTGCAAGCTTGATCAATTTTAGACTGAAGAAGTTGGTAGGAAGGACTCTTCAATTTCAGTATCACTGGCTTTAGTGGTTGGTGGTCTGAACAGTTTAGGAGGCTAGACACCCAAAGTCAGGGTTCTTGCTGGCTCTAAGGGAAGAGCTTCTGTCAGCTGGAGGAAGGGCCTTGTCTCTTGGAGCTTCTGCTCCTCTTTCCCCACCTCTTCTTCTCTCCCTTGCAAAGCAAGGACTTAAAACAGGCCCCACAGGAATTGCTTCATTAACATAAAAAACACAACTGTTTCCAAATGAGATTATAACACCATAGGCATTGTTGTTGTTGTTAAGTGCCCCATTAAGTGGGTTCCCACTCAAAACCCCCACATGAGGAGAGGCTTGTGGGTCTGAACTGCCATATTTTGGTTCAAATCACCTTGAGGTCCAGTGCTTATCCTACAGAACCACACTAAGACTACTAACCACAAACATGTTGCTAAGCGCCATTGAGTCAGCTGAGACATATAGGGTTTCTAGAAAGTGGCTGGTAAGTTTGAACCGCAGGCACATAGGTTAGGATTTACAACATACATTTTCTGGAGACAAAATTCAATCCAAAACAAAACTTAAATGGAAAGATATAAAATTATATTAAGATATAATTGATATCAAGGGAATGCAGCGGCACTTTAGAGTAAGCATTCGACTACAAACTTCAAGGATGGTAGTTTGAGCCCAACTACCACTCCTCAGGGGAAAAATGAAGCTTTATCTCCTGCAGATTTATGGCTTTGGAAACCCTATAAAGGGTTGAACTGACTTGATGGCACTTAGCAACAACAAATCTCTGAAAATTATTTTGCTTAAGCTTCCATCTCTAGTTTGAGTTTGAAATATTAAAACTGTCTAGATTTTAAGTTAGACTGCTTCCTAACACCAATATAAGTCACCTACCTCAAGAGGAGTCCAAGTGAGGAGCTGCAGTCTTATGAGAGGGTTGAACAACTTTGGCAAACAAAGGCCTATGTAAGCATCCTTATAGGACACGTAGTACTTTGAGCGCCATGCTTCAAATTGTGATTTAATACAATCAATTGAACAGAAACTTTCAAGGACATCTTCAAAAATCTTGCTGGACTCTTTTGAAATGCGATCTAAAAACAACAAAAAGCCCCAGAGAACCATAATTTAGTTATGAAGTAGAAAAATACAGTTTAATATTTTCAGTAGCTTATGTATTAGTAAGAAGAGGTCATTAACAAAGAGATCATTTTTAATGGCAATTTACAAGAAAGGGCAGAGGTAAATTTAGATTTCAATTTGTCTATTATGTAAACAAAGGTGCAAGTGATCCTCATTTTGCATAGTTCCAATATGCACAAATTTGTTACCACTGTTTAGTTACGCAATACCAGTCCCTCAACAATACAGTTCAAATTTTAATTACCAAAGTATACTAATTAAGAGTAATTGTATAAAGAAATTTTTACTGCTAGCTTATCAATTCTAAAACCACTAAACAAGTAACAGATGTGCATCATGGCAGCGAACATCGCATCACATCTTTCAAAGTCTGTTGGTGATAGCAAAAACTGAGTCAGACAGTACCAACAATGGGTGTGCTAAGATATTTAAATGCAAGGTTATTTCAGAACAAGATATTTGCACAGTGCCCTTGTGACTTAGGCAAAGGGAAACTTTACAATGGATGGATCAAGTTGTGACAACCTTCATGAAAAGATCAAATTTCAACATCGTTAACAGTGGGACAATCTATTATTTGTCATGATATTATGCAATAAGAACACAGCACACTATGTGAAATATTCTTGCAAAAATAATAAAGTTTAACCTAAATTTAATCAAGCCCTCAGACCTAAATTTCAGTTCTCAAGAAATACAGTGAATGGACCAACAAGTTCAATAATATGAGAAAACAGAGACATATTTGAAATGCAGGAAATAACACAAAAGTAGAAAGTTAAATATTTAACCTTAACGTCTTCAGAAAGTTAATGTATTGAATAAAAATACTAAGGGTCTGTGTATAGGGAACTGTGGATATTAATTTATTCCAGATTATAAAATGTAACAACCAAATGCAAAGCATGAAGTGTATGCAGACCCGTGTTTGGAAAAAAATAAAACAACCCCCCCCCCAAATAACGCATAAAAACAGTTCCCAAGGTGTCCCCCCCCCCAATATAATATTGAGGAAAATTGAATATGGACATATTCAGACATTTTAGGTAAGATAATGGCACTGTGGTTAGGTAGAAAAATATTCTCGTTTGCTAATACAGTGCCATGATATCTGAAAGTCACTTTTAAATGGTTTAGCAACACACACGCACATGCTCGCAACCACACACATCTACAGAGATAAACCAAACCTGGTTACATGTTAAGAACTGCTGAGTCTGAGTGATAGGTATGTGCATGATCAACTGTGTTTTCTTTCAGATTCTCTACGTTCAGAAATTGCTCACTATAAAAAAAAAGTGGGAGAAAAATCAGCTTCTTTAGCTAAGTTCTAAATGGCTACATATCAGTTGTAGCCAATGGTAGGAAATGAAGACTTTCATCTGGAGATGCTTTAGGAAATGCCTGGCACTAACAACTATTCCTCTTGGTTAGTGGAATTATTCATGACTCCCAGAGGTCAGGAGTTTCTTTCAGAGCTCAGTGACTCACTCCAAACTTTTACCTTTCCAGCTTTCCAGACCAGACAGGATGCTCTGAGAGTTCACCCTTAGGAACTGGTACAGTTTTTGGTTACTTAAAACTATGATTCTGAAGAGCAGCATCATTTATTATGCAAATGCTAAATAAGCTATTACAATCCTGCTTTTGAGAACTCATCATGACATTTATTAACAAAAGTGGGTACAAGATTTTACCATTAAGAAAAAGTTGAGTCCAATGCAGAGGTCACAAAACTTCAAACTATTAGATGAAAAACACCACACTCAAGTAGAAACCAAAGTGACAAATAATGAATATCATTAATATATAAATGTCTAACCTTTTTCCAGATTGAAATTAGTAATATCTGTAGAAGTTTCTTCATCATCACTGGAAAGGCCTTCAAGATGATCCGCCATCTTACCAGTTTGCTCTCTGGCTTGTCTACGACGAGTCCTAAACAACAAACTCAAGCTCTCATGCCATGTAAAAGAGATTTGTTCTTTCACAAACTACCAATAAACATTTTCAGAACTACCTTCTGGCCTCCCTTTCTGCAATCCGACGTTTTGCATGCTCTTGATACAGTGCCCGATCACGTCCAAAAGAATCAAGATTTGGTGCCATCAGAGCTTTATCTGTAAAACACCAATGGTTAAAATTAAAAGCCTCCCTTCAGCAATTCTGAGGAAAGAGTTTGCACAGAATAAGCCATTATGATAGACTGCTTGCTAATCTCAAAACAACAGGTTTTGCAATAATTGGTAGACCAGGTACTGGGGTTTTTGTTTTGTTTTTTTTTAAACAAATTTCAACATTACTTTGTATTCCTTTGAAAAGGAGTAGAAAAATGAAAGAATTGATATTGTTTTAAGAGTTTTACGTAAGAAAAATTGGCCTTAATCACTATTTTTTTGTGTATATGTAACAGAACTAACTTATGCTATCATGATGATAAAGTAAAGTCTAAATTACCTGTGCAAAGAGAAAAAGAGAGATTATTTTTATTTAAGACCCTAAGCATCATATGCTGAATGATATGAAATGACCTCAAGGAAGGAAGAAGTAAGAAGAATGAGAAGAAACAGTTGTGTTACAAGAGTTTAATAATACACTGATTTTAATTTTGACTATATAAAGATATTATCTCTATTATGATTTTTAGAGTAAGGGCAGAATCAACTCTATACTGAAAACCATATATGTATGATTAACTTATACTTTATCACACACTGCTCCTGGTGTGGCACTGTAGGATAAGTACTCGACTGTTAACTGCAAGGTTAGAGGTTCAAAAACAGCAAATGTTCCTTGGAAACCCTATACTCACACAGAGTTCACTATGAGTCAGAACTGACTCAGTGGCACTTAACAACAATTATTTCAGAACTCACTGCCTCATTTATTTTCTCCTATTTCCATCTCTTTTTCTAATTTTCGGAAGCAAATTTCTAGCATTACCTTTCATGTTTGTTTAGATTTACATTGTTAATATTTTTAATTTCCCAGAGATAGCTCTTGTTCTTAGAACACCCCCTTTCTACAGAATCTTATACTTGTGTTATAAGTAGTATACCTTCTCTTACGTCCCTGATGATATCTTACATACCACACGATGAAGGTATTCTGGAAAATTTGGCAATGGGAAGTAATGGGAAGCAAACAATCATGGGAATAGGAGGAAGAAATGTAAATGAAAAGCATCCATTTAAGCTATCTTTTTCTTTTTCTCCTATCAGAGATGTCACCAGTATCAGCAAAATGACAAATTCAGTGTATCCTTACTATCCTTACTAAAAATAGAGTCTATTTTTAAAAGCTGACTTTTTCCCTGAAATTTCCATTCATATTTCAATAGTTGGTATTAGGAAGGACGTATGTTCCAGAGTTAGTAAATTATAATAAAGGGCTATTAGAGTAAACAAGAAGATGTCCAAGCCCTACTTAAACTGTAAGTCTACTTAGATACCACAGGTGAATTGGCTAAAATCCCTAAACTACACTACTGATTCCTTCCTGCCTCTTTAAGAGGTAACATTCATTAGAGAAATCTTTTAAAGAATATTCATTACTATATTAATACTTAATATATTATATTTATAGGTTTTATAAACACCAATTGGGTACTGGATACATGAGAAAGTAGACATATAACTCAAGTGACAGGTTCTTCACTTCTGTTGGAACTACATCCAGTAATGGTAGACATGTGTGTATCTTTGTAAACAGATGATGAATTTCAGGCTATTCTTTGCTTCTTTAAAAAAAGATCAGAAAGAAGATTGATTTTTCAGTGTCCCAGGAATTTTCCTCAAACATCTGGCAGTTAATGTAGATAACACTAGGACTATTTAGCAATACCTTTTCATCCCCCTCCCCGATTTTCCATCTAATTAACATCATTCAGCTTCACATTTCATCTGAGTTAATAGCTCCAAATTAAGAAGAAACAGACGAAGGTATCTGATGAAATACACAATTCATACAAGTAATTTCTTCACTTCGTATGTATATTGGTTACCTGTAATCTGCCCCAGAAATCTGGTTCTGTCTGAATCAAAAGTGAGCTGCGAGGGATACATTAGTCATTGAGGTGCCCAATATGTCAATAACCCAATTTAAACATGTGTGGCAAAAACAGAAGGTCAAAATCAATTACATTGCTCATAGCTGAATCTCATTCAGCTCTGAGGGTTGTATTACCATTTCTTTATATTCTCAAAAAAAAACAGCTGACACAAGAGAATGTGTCCTAAGGGTGTTTCTTGAATTTAATGGACACCCTACATGAAAAACCATTATTTTCAAGAAGAAGAGAACAGGGCCCTTTGCACCTACATTACTTGAAATGGTTATTTAGCATGCAGATTTCTCTAGTAAGACTTTCTGGGGATTGTTGTTAACTGTCGCTGAGTTGGTTCCAACTCATAGTGACTCTGTATAGGGATTCCGATGCTTTAAATCCTCGCGGGAGCAGAAAGCCTCATCTTTTCCCCGATTCTGGGCATAGGACCAGGAAATCTGCATTTTAAGTAACGATCACAAATAACTTGATGCACATGTCTATGTGAGAACTTCTGATGTAGAAAACAACACAGATGATGAAAGAAGCCAAAGGGATCCAGGATAAAAAACTTCTATCAGAGCACCAAAGCATATGAAGGGCAATGAAAATGCAGAATCTCATCTAAGATATAGAAGTTTTTAGTTAACTTTGGTTTCCCTTGACACATATATAATCTACTATAAAAAGAATAAATTCAACGTCTAAATCTGTGCATTAAAATGTCAAGAACTGACTTTTTAGAAAACCTAGTATATAAGGCAGACTAGAGAAAGGAACATTTAAAAAGAAAATATACAAAATTGTTTTGTCTTGAAGTGAATCTCAAAACTCTCTCAAACTTAGTTATTTGCTTTGTAACATCACACACACACCACACACACAATTTCCGAGTCCCTAAACTCAAAATCTTTTACTGTAATCAACAACATTCATATTAGTGCTGTGAACAGGATGAAAATGAAAGGAAAAAAAAAATCACTCAAGGAAAAACATGAGTCCTTTTATGTAAATATTGCTTATTTTCTATTGTCCATCCTCTAAAGGAGAATGAAAATATATGCCCAAAGATTAAGACTGACAGAATATTAGTACATGTTTTAGAACTCTTCTGGGAAGCTAGTTTCCTAAACACAAATTGATTACATGCTTTATATTTAGATCTACCTGCAAGTAAGAGCAAGGAAAAGGGTTTATCTTAGAAATGAACAAACAAAACTGAGATAATCTAATTTTCAAGAAGGCTGCACTAAGGAAACAAGGTTGTTTAATGAATAATAAAAACCTTCAAGATGGACTGACTTGAATGGCTTGAAAACTCCGAAGATTCATCTTTAATATCATCTTGCCGTCTTTGGACAAGGCGGGAAGCTCGCTGTTTGTACAGCTGATGTATTGCTGATTCAAGTTCATTAATCAGTGGCACCTGTAAAAATACAACACACTCCGTAACACCAAACTCCTCAGTTGCTTACTTATTTCAGGGTTCCACACTATATCCGGATTTCTGAAAAAGTACCCTTCTCTATGGACAGAATAAACATGAATCCCCAAAAAGGACAAAATAATAATTCATTTTTATAATGTTTAGGCAACATCATTTCTTCTTTCGATCCATGTATAGAGCTATAATGTGCAGTGCCTAGTCATTGGAGTAAAAATTTTGGTTAGGAAATATAACACTTTAATATTAGTAAAGACAGCAAGTACAAAAATGTAAAAAATTTTAAGTCCTTTTTAAGAAGAGTACGTACTTGGAAGTCTTTTAAAGTCTAGTTTTAATTTCACAATAACATGGCCTGTCTCTTAATTTTTGTAGTTAAAAGTAAATTCTTATCACTGGGCAGTAATCCCCCTCCTGGCCCCCTCAAATACACTGGCTCTGTGAGTAGGTAAGAGCAAGAATCAACTGCTTAATTTGAGACGTTCATATATATAGTCACTCCTATGTATCAAGTACCTTATAGTAAATCTGTTACACTATCTTGCAACTTTATCATACATTTTAAATGCAAACTGAATGATTAATAGGGCAAATCAAATTTCTAGCTATCACTAACCTCTGAAATCAATAGATCACCAATTAGGAAGTTCCTTTTTTCCTATCAAATGTTTAAATTTAGCTATATTTTATAACAAAATAATAAAGTTCTTCAAAGAAAATTAAGTTAAAAAAATTTAATCAAAATTTCCAGGTAAAGCATCCATAGCTAAAGCATTTACTCTGATTTATATAGAATACAAGAAAGTACAAAACCAAAACCCCTTTCTCTGTATAAATATCTTATGTAATAACCAAATGCTATGAAACTTTCACAAAACACTAACGACCACTACACATACCTGAGGAAACCAAAAATTCTAGTTTCCTGATGGCTAGTGCAAATGGAAAACACACTAAATAGAGTTTGGGAACACTGGCACCAAGTGTTATAGCAGCTTCCTGAACTGAACAGACTACAAATGGAAAATTAAAAGGCAGGTGGAATACAAAAATTTCTGTAATAAAAGCAATTTTATATATTTGCATAATTCCATTGCAAAAATAGCAAAAGTTCATATGTTCAAATATTTTCATATGTTCAAATATTTCATCCTTTAAAAAGCCACACCATGGGCAACAATGTCCGCAAATCTGCATTCGCTGAGCCCTGAGACTCTAGCATTAAAATGTACTACAATCCAATTTTTTAGCAACCGCGGCCATATTGTGACTTATACTTCCCACCTCTCCTTGTGGTTTTTTTAAACCACAAATGACTAAACACAAACAAATGCCCCCAAGACACTCTCTTTTGGGCTTGGCAACTATTAAAAAATTCTGAGAATAAAAGCCCTAAGAACACATTTTCAGCTCTCATTGAATTCTTATCAATATTGATTTATCTCAGGGGCTGGCACCATGACAAGATCTCTACCCTCTCTCCAAACTCCAAACAGTTACTAAATAGTTTTATTTCAGGACCGAATTCAAGGCAAAGACCACAAAGAGGAAAATGGTGAGATGGAAACAAAACAATGAAAAGTTAAAATAATGGGCAGATCATTTAAAATCTAAGTTTAAAAACCACTTACTTTTATAAAATAATGTGATATTTATCTTTTTACGGACTTGCTCTGAAACAATACTTTCATAGAACAGCAAACTGAACTTTCAAATCCATCCAGTTGTATTCCCAAGATAATAATTTATGACATTAGTGTGCCAGCACTCTTAATGAAACTGATTATGTATGAAAATGTCAAAATGAAAAAGAATACTAGTCTTTAAAAGATACTGAAATCTTTTAATTAAAATGAGAAAGTTACTACCTAATACTTAAGATATGCTTTGAAACCATTTACCTAGTGACTATGTAACCGTATCAGCATGATCTGAGATAGGCATCTGAGGGTTAGAATAACCCAGGAGATGAAACACCTCCCTTTTACCTCTTTTTGCATGAACTCAATAAAATGAACTTCAAAGAACTGCAAAAATACCGGGGGTGGGGGGTGGGGTGGGGGAATGACCCTACTTCTAAACTCCTGAAAGCAAACTGCATGCGAATGACTACATGTTTACATCACTGTTTGAATTCTATTCCTAATAATAAATACTCTAAACTTCTGTTAAATTGAAAAGGGTACAAGTACTAATATACTATATGCATACATAACGAACTCTGGTGGTATAGTATATTAAGTGTTGGGTTGCTAATGACAAGGTTTAACCCCACCAGCAATTCCACAGGAGAAAGATGAGGCTGTCTGTTTCTGTGACATAGTCTCGGAAACCCAATGGAACAGTTTGATTCTGTCCTCTAGGGTCACTATAGTCAGAATTGATTAAATAGCATTGGGGCATATGTATACATATTATAAAGTACAAAATAGTAATTAGCAACTCTTTAAAAAAATAATTAGCAATTGAAACCTACATAAACTAGATGTGCTACTGTTTTCTTTAATCCAAGAAAGATATACTATAGGGTTGCTATGAGTTGGAACTGACTCAATGGTTATGAGGTTTTTACTCTATAGTTGATCATTACTATCATTTATTATTATTTTTTAAAGTTATGTGTGTTTCCAAGGACTAGTGTATACGTTTACGCAAATTAAGTTCCAATGCAAAGGCTAAGAAACTTCAAGAAAAAGCTCAACAGGAAAGATCCCCACAGGTCTAAGACAAAAATCCTACTCTAGTGATAAAAGGTTATCAGAGAGTCCCCTCGCCTCCATGCCTGGCTCAGAAGGGCTCTACCACCAAGAAGGACACAACCCCCAGCTCTGACCCTCATACCCACTGACTCTAGCATGGTTCCCCCTCCACCCACCGCTGCACAGAGAAATAGTCTAGTCTGTGCTTCTTCTCCACACCGTCCCTGTAACCCTAAGCCACTGAGCTGCCATAAGGGATATCAAGTTCAGACAGCAGTTGCTTCTCCAGAAACCAGGTGATAGGGATCAAAAACATAAATTCTACAGACAAAACATGATAAATGCTGCCTCTCAGCCTATAGATGACCTCACACCAACTGATGTGTTTCTAATCATTGAAACTCATTAGAAACACAGTCTGCCTGTGTTCTTACCAGCCTTAGATTTTAGGGCACTGAAGCAGTCATCAGGGATCATTAAAAAGTAACAATTTTCATTTAACCATAAAATATACTTATAACGGAGTCCTGGTGTGGTGCTGCAGGTTAATATGTTGGATTGAAAGGTCTGTTTGAATCACAGGTTGGCACTGCAAGCTCACTAGCTGCTCCTCAGAAATCGTATACAGGATCGCTATGAGTCGGAACAGACTCAATGACACTTAACAACAACATATACTTATAGATTCTATGATAATCCACAGTCAGTGATAAAGGAAGATCTGTCTTCCAATCTTTTATCAGTTTAGAAGTTTCAGGACAAAGGACAATGATTTGAATCGTTTTTTAAAAATAAGGCTGGAAAGTTCACATGTTTATAAACCAATGCATCAAACAACATGAGGTCCTTTGAAAAAGGGGACTCTGTTGAAGGCTAATTTTAACTATGAAAAACATAATTGTCAACTATCATACTAAAAAAATGAACTTGGATGAGACCTTAAAAGAAATTCAGTCCAATGAATGACTTCTGAAATGAATGAAGCATAGGCTTATTTTGGTCAAAACAATTAGCAGCAATGGAGATTCTATCTAAGTTAAAAATGTGAATTAAGAAAATTTTGCTACTTTATGCATATATATATATATATATTTTGTTTTTTTAAATGCATATTTTAAAAATTACTTGTAGAAACAGTTTAAGAGTAGACCTGAACCATAAAAAAGAAAACTACACTAAATGAGTCTCTTATTTTCTAACAATTCAGGGCAGGCCAATAAGATGACTTGCCAAAGTCTCATTAAAATGTGTTGAGGTATCAATGCCACTAATGAAGGGAAGAAAAGGAAGCATAACTTTGAATCACTTCTGAAGTTGAATGCAGTGATTATTTTCTGAGAAATACAGAAATGCTATCTAGATCTCCCTAGTTTTTCTTTAGTCAAAGAGATTAATATTTTTGCATTCTTACCTTTTCACTGAAACACTCAAGCAAGTCTTGGACATACCCTCGCATTTCTTGCAAAAATTTATACCGTTCACCAATACCCCCAGAAGACCCTTCTAATCTCTCAATAGCCCTGGTAGAGTCCACTCGGCTTTGCAGATGTTTCTCATGCTGCTGGCGATTTGTTTTGTGCAATTCTTGCATGGCATCCAACCTTAAGAACACAAAAGGATAAATATAACACATTTACATCCAAAAGTCTTTGCTGTCAGGACTCTTGCAATATTATAATAATGCATTCAGTTCCTCTATTAAAATACAAAAATACTTGGAATGGCATCTTTTCATCTGTACTGCTTTTTGCTCAAAAATGGCAGTTTACAGACTTCATAAAAAGTTATTTGGTGGGCTAACCAAAATCTCACTGTTTTGTTTCCCCCCCCATATCTTGACTACACTTTTCCAGAGTCCAAGAGGTAGAAACTCAGAACTGTCTTCAACATGGAGTGGCATTTTAAAAAATAATTTTCCGCGGCTTCCACAGAAGTAATCCAAGAAGGTAGCAGAACAAAGTATGAAGTCATCTTCTGTTTAGCTTTTGAAGATGGGCCAGTGAATCTTCTTTGCTGGTATTCTGCATCAGCTACCCCAGACTATAAGTTGCCTGAGGGAACAGAAAGCTACTGGACAGGTCTTTAAGAAGTTGATCTGCCCTACCTGTCTTTAAGCTGTTTCTTTACCAAATCAATAGTAACGGGAGTCATCTCATTACTGGGAGTTTTGAAAGGGACTGTATTATCTGTTTTTTGAGATTTGTCGTCTGATGATCCATAGGCCGTGTAACTATAAGGAATGCCATAGGATGAACCATAAGGCATTGTCTGGTAAGTGTTCTGATAGTACATATTCACTTCAGTTGGCTGACTTGCTTGAACCTAAAAAAGAAATGGGAAACACATTAAAAATATAACAAAAATTTTAAGAAGAGTCAGCTATATAATATAGCTTACCAAATATATTATTAAAAACAAAAATTATATCCATTTTCTAAATACATGTAGTCCCTTACAAATGTCCAACACAACCTATAGTTGTGAATCAACTCAAGTAAAGCCTGTTACATTAAAAATTCAAAGTATATACAATGGCTCGTAATAACAAATGGTGACCACTTGGGTATATACAATGGCTCGTAATAACAAATGGTGACCACTTGGCAAGCACATCTAAACATTATTATTTACTATATCTGGAAGTGTTTAACACTTTTTTTTTTTTTTTTTAACACTGTGTACTACATGGGGTCAAGTAAAAAATATTTCCTACAAAATCCTAAGAACCTTGATTGAACAAAACTATCAAATCATGAAGCTATTGTTCCTCAACATATTCTCCTTCTCAGTATCTACACTTCTGAAGGTGGTGTGCCCATCTCCTTAACCTTCCCTTTAACAATTCTGCACTCTTTGATTTAGACATCAAAATGACAGTCTTGGCATCCTTGAAGGACTCAAATCATGTTCCTCTGAAATGGTCTTTGAGTTGGGGGAACATAAAAGAAGTCTGAAGGGGCTAGACATTGCCAAACATCTTGAAACAAGAAGTTGCTGGGCCTGGGCTCTCGGGATCATAGTGTTAGGGAACACCATGGTCAACTGGCATAAAATAGTCCACAAAGACATCCTACTTTGGTGAGTAGCAACTGGGCTCTTATAATCTCATGAGCAGCCATCTAAGTTACAGCTATTGGTCTCTCTATGTGTGGAACAAAGAAGACTGACAAAAACTGAAGATGCTTAGAATCAATTAGTCCAGTGGACTGACAGAACATGTTAATATCAGTCTCTATGACTCTGAGAGCAGAAAAATTAGATGATGTCTCGCTACCATTACTAATGGCTCTGAAAGGGATCACATTAGAAGGTCCTGGATAGAGTGGAAGATGGCATGGAACAAACTCAAAATTATAAAAAAGACTGGACTTTATGGACACCGACTTAGTCACTGTGGGCTAGAGCTGAGAGTGAAGTAGCCAGCAGAACTTTAGAAGGGGAAGGTGTACGAGAACTCCCAAACTAAGATAGTGCAGTACCCATTTGACCTAGCTTGGATGGCTAGCTGACCATAACTTGATGAGATGAAAATAAAGACGTTTTTGATACTTGGAGCAAGTGTAAATTGCTATAATTTGATGAAGAGGACCTTTGTTTATGGATGCAGTTTGCTCAAAATTCCAACCACATTTGATCTCTTGACTGCTGCTTCCATGAGTGTTGAATGTGGATCCAACCAAACCGAAGTCTTTGACAACTTCAATCTTCTTTCCATTTATCATGGTGTTATTTATTGGTCCAACTGTGAGAATTTCTGTTTTACACTGAGATGCAATCCATACTGAAGACTGTTGTCTTTGATCTACATCAGGAGTATTTAAATTCTCTTCATGTCCAGCAACCATGGTTGTATCATCTGCACATACAGCAGAATGTTAAATAATCTTCCACCAACCTTGATGCTATGTTCTTCATGTACTCCAGTTTCTCACATTATTTACTCAGCACACAGATTGAATTAAGTATGATAAAAAGATACAACCCTGGCACACACTCTGCCTGAATTTAAATCATTCAGCATCCTCTTATTCTGTTCAAATGACTGCCTCTTGGTCTATGTACAGGTTCCTCAGGAGTATTACTGTTTTGGAATACTCATTATTTGCAATGTTATCCATAGCTTGTCATGATCCATAGTCGAAAGTCTTTGCATAGTCAATAGAGCACAAGTAAATATCTTCTTTCAGGTATCCTCTGCTTTCAGCTAAGATCCATGTGACATCAGCAATGATTTCACTAATTTTCCACATCCTTTTCTGAATCCAGCTTGAATTTCTGGCAGTTCCCTGTCGATGTACTTTAGTAGCATCTTTTGAATTATCTTTAGAAAAATTTTATTCGCAAATTTGGTATTAATGATACTGTTTGATAATTTCTGTGTTCTGTTGGGTAACCTATCTTTGGAATGGACGCAAATATGGATTCTTCCAACTGGTTGGCCAGGTAGCTATCTTTCAAACATCTTGGCATAGATGAATGAGTGCCTCCAGTGCTACATCAGTTTGCTGAAAGATTACCTGTATTCTGTTCATTCCTGGAGCCTTATTTTTCACCAGTGCCTTCAGTGTTGCTTGAACTTCTTCCACACCAATGGTTCTTGAAGGGTTAGACATTGACCATTTCTTTTGGATACAGTGACTCTGTGTACACCTTCCATCTTCTCTTGATGGTTTCTGTATGGTTCAGCATGTTGCCCTTGAAATCTTTCAATATTGCAAATTAAGGTTTAAATTTTTCCTTCAGTTATTCAGCTTGAGAAATGCTGAACATGTTCTTCCTTTTGGCTTTTCTAACTCCAGGTCTATGCACATTTCATTATAATATTTAATTTTGTCTTCTCCAGCTGCCCTTTGAAATTCTCTGTTCAGCCCGACTTTCCCATTTCATCTCTATGCTGGAGAGTAAGTTTCAGATATCTTCTGACATTCATTTTGCTCTTTTATTTGAGATGAGCAAGAAAAGAGGAAGGACTGGCTGGTCTGAAGTTTACGAAGTAAGCCCATGGCCACTGACCTAGGAGCTGTGGGCCAGGGCTAAGAGTGAGGCAGTCAACTGGTTTGAAGGGCAGGAAGGTCTGCATGAATTCCTAAACTTGCAGCTAGTACCCATTTGACCTACCTTGAATGGTTAGCTGACCAAAACTCAACTAGATCAAGAAAAAGAAGTTTGATAATGGGAGCAAGCGTAAATTGTTTGATCAACTGGACCTTTGCTTATGGATGCAGTTGCTCACAATTCTAACTGAAATGGAAGGATTCTTTGTATCAAGGATCAAGATTGCTTCTTTAGTGCACTAGGCTTGATTGTTGTTGTCAGGTGCCACTGAATCGGAACCGACTCATAGTGAACCCATGCACAGCAGAACGAAACAATGTCCGATCCTGGGCCAAACTCACTACCGCTGCCACACTTGAGTCCATCAATGATGCCACCTGGCCGATCCATCTCATTGGGGGTCTTCCTCTCTTTCTCAGACCCTCCATCTTACCCAGCATGACATCTTTTTCTAGCGACTGTTCCCTCCTGACAATATGTCCAAAGTATGAGAGACGAAGTTTAGCCATCTTGGTCTCCAAGGAACATTCTGGCTGCAACTCTTCCAAAACAGATCTATTGGTTTTTTTGGCAGTCCATGGTACTTTTAATATTCTCCTCCAGCACCACAATTCAAAGGCATCAATTCTTCTATGATCTTCTTTATTCACTGCCCAGCTTTTGCATCCATATGAGGTTATTGAAAATACCATGGCTTGGGTCAGGTGCACCTTAGTCCTCAACCTGACATCTCTGCTCTTCGACACTTTAAAAAAAAGTTCCTGTGCAGCAGATTTGCCCAATGCAATATGTCGCCTAATCTCTTGACTGCTGCTTCCGTAACTGTTGATAAGATTTGTGTTATCTTTCAGTAACCCAGAAATTGATTGGAACTTAATCCAACAGCATTTTAGGAGGTTGTGGAACAATATACACTTGTCTGTGGATATTCATCAGCTACATGCTCAAATTTATGATATAAGTAATTCTCAAAGTGAACACTGAGTGGCTACTCATTTTCTACCCATGCTAGAGAGTAAGATCCCCTAAGAACTTGATTGAACCTCAGCATAGTGATCCTGCTTGGTCACCTTAGAGCAGGTGGTGGGCCGGCAACGTCGGGCGCATGGGGTCCGCAGCTGATCTCCTCCCTCCCTGCCTTCCTCGGATGGCGGCTGTTTATGCTGGACGTGTGGCCAGAGACGGGTAAGGATCACGTGGAACCTCGGCTACTTAAGACAGAGACATTGCCATGCTGCAATGAGTCTCAATGACTGGTAAGACTGAGGAATTCGCACTGACCACCTAAGACAGGCAGCGTCCCTTAAACAATCAATAAATAAGGAGGATTCAGATGCAGACAGTACAGACCCGGTCAGGAGGCCAAGCCCCTGTGGGCCCAAGCGTTGTTGACCGTCCAAACCATAGGCTCTGAGGATCAGACTCTAGCCACCTAGTAGACATAGCAAACTGTCCCTCATCTGATTATTCAGTAATGCTTGTTAGTAATCTCATACATGAGCCCTGGATATCCACAGACAAATGTAAAAACCTTCCCTAAAAGCAGAGACTGTAAATTCCAAAAAGCCAAGTCCCCCGCCATCCAAAAAAAAAGCTAAAGAGGATAGAGAGAAACACTGTAAACTGATGATATATGGTGGGGATAATAATCAATGTAATGAAACAAGTATATGAATGGTTGAATGTGAAGCTGATGATGTGCCCTGTAAACCTTCACTCAATGCAAAATAAAAACATTTAATTAAAAAAAAAAAAGTTCCTGTGCAGCAGATTTGCCCAATGCAATATGTCGCCTAATCTCTTCACTGCTTCTTCTGTAACTGTTGATAGTTGATCCAAGAAGGACTTGAAACATTTATTGATGATCAAGGAACACAGCCTTCAGTATGGATTGCATCTCAATGTCAAAAAAACAAAAATCCTCACCACTGGACCAATAAACAACATTCTTATCAACAGAGAAAAGACTGAAGTTTCAAGGCTTGATAGGGATGGGCAACTTAGACACTGGGTATCAAAAATGGAGGCTTTAATAGTACAAAGTGGTTGGCTGACAAGCTTTCATGAATGTGCTTAGTTTCAGAATGGGGGTGGTGGTGTAAGGTACACTCCCCACTATATAGTTTTCTTCTTTTCCAGATGGCTTGGGTGAAAAGAGATGGGGGATGATGGTGATAGGATTTTATGATTCAATTTTGAGTAACTGTTATCAGGATTAATCATGGTTATCACAATTGTAATGGTAGAAGTGTAACTAAAGGGGGGAGTAGTTAATTTTTCATTTCGGGAACAGAGGACTCTGGGACCATCGAGAGAATGATTGGACCCTGAGACCTCACCCAGAAAAATGGTGATGGTAGAGACAGTGGCAGAGGTGATGGCATAGACAAAGAGAGCAGCTGAGGACTCTAGGCTCACAGACTGAGAAAGGCTATGTGCCTGTGGGCAGGAGGCCAGCTTAAAAATAGGGCCCTTTGGACATAAAAACTAATATATATTTTTTGTATGTGTACATACAAAATATTTCTGCTGTTCATTTATAGAAAAATAAGATGTAAAAGGGAAACCACAGAAGAGAAGAAGGATAACTGTTGTTACTGGGAGGGGCATGTAATTAAAAAACAAATAAAATTGGGCTTACTGGTCAAAAAGAGACTGGAGGGATTGGAGACTATGGCCCTCAGCCAATCTCCAGGTGTGGAACAGAACTCATCCATGTAGCCCAATTTTCAACCAAGTGGTGGATAGATATATATAGGGATGAAATCAATAGTGAGATATGCTCACCATGAAACAATCAACCACTCAAGATCAAAAGGGCAACATTTACCTAGGGACAAGATTCAGAGGGGTTGGGAAGGAGGGTGATATGGAAATAGGAACCACAGGGAGAAAATGGGATAACTATCGTTACATGGAGGGGATTGCAATCATTGAGATTAAACCATGTGTGTGACTTGTTGAATGTAAAACTGATGATCTGCTCTGTAAATCTGAGCTTTACTCAATACACAATAAAAGGTTAAAATAAAAAATGTCTGAAGGGACAAAGTCAGGGAGGTAGGGTGGATGGGGTAAAGGTTCCTAACAAAATGAAGAATGAGCAGGTGCATTGTCATGATGGGAAAAAAAAAAAAAAAGAAAAGAAAAAAATGCCTTGGCACAACTTTCCAGGCCTTTCTCTCATGAATGCAGTTTTCAAACTTCTTCATAATGAGCCTTCATGATCATCTTTTGTCCTTTGCAAAAATCTGTTAAGAGTACCCCTTTGGGGTCCCAGAAAGCAGTCACCATAACCTTCCAAGCTGACCTCTCTGCCTTGAATTTAAATTCAACTGGCCCAGTAGATCCCCATGAAAGCAACTGTTATGACTGGACTTTTGGAAAGACACCATAAGGAGACAAAAGTGTATTACGGAGAGAACTTGTCTGCAGCCATCTACTGATTGCAGAGACATGTTTAAACATTTTGTCTGGAACAAACCCATACATATATTGTTTTATTACAAACAAAATATGTTTAAACATGTCTCTGTAATCAGTATATATAAATGAATTGCAATACTTTTTGACTTACCCTCATATAAGACAAACATTAAACTAACTGATGTTAGCTATGAACCATACCTAACTGAGTTGCATACAAATCTGACTTGAAGTCAGACTTAGGAGCAGCACTGGTTCATAATCCTGAGACTGCCTTTAGTGTGCAAAATCAAATAAGATTGCAGGAATGGATGATCTCTTGATGGTATCACTGAATTTATTTCTACTAGTTTAAAAAAAAAGGATAACAGTAGTTTAAAGTTGGACAGAACATTAACATTAAAAATAATAAAAAGCTACTATTTTATCAATGGAAGAGGATAAATGACTTGCCTGTGACCACAACATAAAAGGAAAGGAAGAGATTACAATTTAAGATCCTGACAACGAGTCTAGGATTTTTCCTAATATGCCTTTTTTTCTTAAACCAAATTCAAGCAAAAGTCTGTCCTAAAACACTATGACAAAAATAGTTTACATGTATGTACCTTTCCACTGTACTACTTAAATCCATTAAACACATTGTTACAATTATTTAGGAAGATATTTTTCATCTCTCTCAATATATTGTTTTTGCATTACTGAGAAATCTTCTTCTAACAAAATAATTTTCAAAGTGAAAAATAAAATAAGCCATATAGGAAGTAAACATTTTATCTGATGCTGTGGTTCTAACTTTAGTGTGCATCAGAATCATTAGAAAGGTTTGTTAAAGGGATTGTAGGGCCCCACCCCCCTGGAGTGGCTGTGAAAATTTGCATTTCTAACAAGTTCCCAGGTAATGTTGAGACCATACTTTGAGAAAAAATGACACAAAGAACCGAAAATTCTTACATAAATCTGACTATAAAAAGCAAAATACTGCTTCTTCTAAGAGTCACATTACATGGTGACTTTGACTACATTACTATCAATTGTAAAGACTCCATGCATCATGTTTTTACTTTAACAAAACAGACAAAAAGAAAAATAGAAAAACAAAACAAAAACAAAACCTTAATTCTGACCTGAGGAATATTAATTCCTTTTCTTATCTGCTCCTGTTCCCATCGGCTAAGCTCTTCATCTTGTTCTCCAGTTACTAAAGCGTCATCATCACTCCCTTCAATACCTGCAGAGATATGCAGTAAATAAAGTAAATACTATTAGGAAAGGGATGGGATGCTATCCTGATATTTCACAATAATTACACAAAACTATCTGCATTAACTCAGTCTTACTAAAATAAAATTCTATTAGGATCTCGTCTCTGCCATCTGATATGCCTGAATTTGAAAGTATATGCCCGGAAGCTAAAGGCAACATAATGCAGTGGTTAAAACCTTAGTTAGCTTTTCTAATATATGTAAGCCTTGACTTAAACAAAGGGAAGAAAAATCTTAATGTTCCTTAAGGAAGTTTTCAGGATTTTATAAACATATGCATGGAAATTGTTCAATACACATTTATACAGGAAGTGCTTAATAAACATTAGCCATCACAACTATGTTATAGTTTTCAAAGAAGTCTACTAAGATACTTGTATCCAAGTATTAACAGTCAGCAGCTCAAATCTACCAGTTCTGCGGAAGAAAGATGAGGCTTTCTGCTCCTATTACAGATTTACAGCCTCAGATCCTGTACAGGGTGGCTATGAGTTGGAACAGACTCCATAGAACATAACCACCACCACCATCAATATAAAGCCCAGAGTCCTGGTATGGACCTGTGAGTTAATGTGCTGGACTGCAAAGTCGATATGAACCACAAGGTCGGCGGGGTTCAAGGTCACCACTGAGCCTTGTAAACACTACACAGGGTCACTGTGAGTCGGAAGCGACTCGATGGCACTTAACAACAACAAATATAAAATCCTGGTGGGATAATGCACTGGACTGCAAGGTAAGCAGTTTAAATTCACTAGTCACTCCTGGAAAACTCTATACAGAGCTGCTATGAGTCTGAACCAATTCAATCAATACACTTAGTAACAGTGAAACAGTTTTTAAAAATGTAGGGATTTTTAATTTGATTATATGTTGTTGTTGTGAAGTGCCGCCGAGTTGGTTCCGACCCAGAGTGACCCTGTATAGGGTTACCGAGGAGCAGCTGGTGAGCTTGAACCGCCGACCTTGCAGTTCAAATGCCTTTGCAGTCTGGCGCATTAACCCACAGCACCACAGCAGCAGTCCCTATATTCAGAATGACTGACTTATGGACAACTCCTTCTTGTCCTTTAATACAAGGCTTCAAACTGGTTCTGTCATGGTCAGTGATACAAAGCAGAACAGCTCTGAATTTTTGTAAGTTGGGTGATTTGTCACAGTAACCATAAAGGGCAAAATTACGGACGGAAGTCCTGGAATGGCCGATTCAGAAGAGGCGTAGCAAGTCCTTTCAGTAGCCTGCAGGGTGAGACTAGATAACTGGCAGGGTGGTGGAGAGTCACACACATTCAAAGTGGTGCTATGCGCCACCATTTTGGAAGCCCTGCTTTAATGTTAGGTGAATTTGTCTTCAATTTGCAATGACTGGCTTAACGTCTATTCTCAAAAAATTTCTTCATCACAATCACCTTCAAATTAGCCTTTAAGTCATTGAAAAAGCTTTGATTCTTTCTTGAACTAAAGTAAGGCTTGATAAGAATTATATGCATCTGTTCTGACTGACCTACAAATTCTTGTAATACATATAGTTAGGAAACAAATCATATTCAAAACCTAGGAGCTGCCATGTGTGAGGGGGCCTCAAAAAGCTTGTGGAACAATGAAAAGACAATAGAATTTTTCTGTGAAATTTTGACGCTCTCTCATATTATTAAACCACATTTAATAACAATGCAGTGGGCTTATTATCCAATTATATTACGTTACCTATTTCCTCAGCAATTTTTTGTCTTTGTGACTTTTCTTTAACAGAAAAAACAATCCGGCGCTTCTCATCATCATCTTCATCATCACTAGCATCATTCTCATCTTCCCTAACAAGGCGGCCTTTACCAGGTTCATTATCATGAGGAGTGAAATCTCCCAATTCCCGGGCCATCTGACGTTTTTTCCTGGCAGCATGGATAAAAGCCGCGTCAGGAATTTCTCCTGGAAATAAATGGTAAAAGAATTATAAAATATTTCAGTATTAGAGAGAAAATTTCTTTTTAAAAAAATATGAAGATCAAAATAATCTCACCAAGGCATCCATATCATACTGAGGACCTACTTTCATCTGCTGGTACCCTTTCAAAAACTGAGCCTGTAATACAGCTGACTGATGTTTTTGAACTGAATCTGATATGTTCATTACTAGGGGAATCAAAAGACCTAAAAGATTTAAATGATGACTGTACTGCTCAATGAAGATACTGAAAAGCTCCTTAAATTGAGTGCCTTTTGTGACTCAATACCCTTATTTCAGAAATTTTATTATATCCTGAATAATTTTTAAATTTAGTTATATAAACAAGAGAACAAAAATGAGGTATGGAAATGGCTGATACATTTTTAGTTACACCATTCAAGTGGCAACTGAAAGTCACAGGAATTTTTAATGGCAGTTACATATGGGAAAGAGCGGAAGGAGGTAACAGTACACCCAAGTAGGTGCATTTTAGGGTGGTTTTGTTTTTTCATTAACTAAACAAATAAAAGCAATTAAACCATTTCCACCTTTAGTTACATACTAAACAGTAAAACAAAAACAAACCACAATAAGAACACCCACACTTGCAGATAATACCTACTTATCCTGGCTTCAATGAATGGATGATCAGAGCTCAACCAGAGGTAAAAAGAAGAGGAAAAAAAAAAAAAAATTCTCATACAATTTGATGAACTTGACCTACACCTAAGGAAGCAGTAGCTCAAAACAGTGAACAAGTCCTCACAGCAAGAATCATTCCCACCCCCTCCACACACAGAGTAGACAGGGATGGGCAACTTGGACACTGGATACCCAAAATGGGGGGTGGGGGGTTACAAAGGCAAGAAGTGACTGGCTTATAAGCTTTCAAGAGGGAGCCTAGATCCAGAGGGCCTGGAGGAAGGTAGAATCTCCAGTGAGTAGTATTCAATCTGACTAGGCGGGGCTGATGTTATGAAATGCAGACGGGTCTCTTGTGATACAGTAGTGAATAATTGTTATCAGGACTGACTGTGAGGGTTGGAAATGTAAAGGTGGACATTTTATAGCAAGGAGGGGAGTGATTAACTTTTCAGTCTAGGAGCAGAGGTCCCTAGGACCATCAAGGGAGAAGAGCAGAGAGTGGGACCCTACCCAGAGAAGCAGTGATGCCTGAAATCGAAGAGATGATGATGTGGAGCTATGGAGCAGCTGGAGACTCTAGGCCCAGAGAGGGAGAGCGACTGTGTGCTGAAGACCTGGGGGGTACGGGGGAAGGATTGCATGGAGGGAATTGTAAGCATGGCAATGAGACGATATACGATGGAATGAACGTAAAACTAATGTTCTCCCATGTAAACTACCACATAATTCACAACAAATCATTTAAGAAAAAAACAAACAAAAAACTAACCACAGTATCATGCTCTTAAAAAAGCACTAAACTTGTAGTATATGTCTCATTGTTTTTTTTTTTTTTTGCCTATCTGTAAACATACTATTAATTTTGCATCTAATTTTTCTTTATCTCAAATCATATTAAGTTTTGCATGTTATTATTAGTAGCAGTTCTGAAAAGTTTTTAGGGAAAAGAACATATTAATTTTATTTGAAATGTAAACACATACGCTAGTACTGTTTCTCCATTAACCTGAAATTCTATTTGTATTGATAACAAAATTGCCTACTGGGAAACAACTTGAAAAAGTTAAAAAGCTTCTAAGTTATTCCATTTTCTATATTTGCAAATGGAAACACCCTAGTTCCACATAATAACAGTACTTAGCTTTTACCCTTTAATAATCATCATTCTTGGTGGCTTATTTCAGTTCTCAGAAATGTTTGAGTTCTGAGCACCAACCTGGACGGAGAACATTCAAAGAAGACAAAGCGTTGGAAAAGGCTCCACCAGCCTTTGGCTTCTCTTCCTCCTTCTCACTTTCCATATCCATTTCATCTTCACCATGTTCACTAATGATAACTCCATCTTCCTGATTTGGATCCTTAACATGTCCTGGTTTGTCCAAAGGCAGTTCATCTAAATTGTTAAAACAATTAAAATACATTTAAAATAAAAGCCATAAATTAAAATAGCACTGTTTATTCAATTATGGATTAATTCCACTGAAATTTGAATTACTTTACTAAAAAACACAGATGATGATGGATGATGATAAACTGCTACAACAATAGATAAGTATAATCAGAAGGGAAAAATAAGGGCCAGATGAATATATTTGAGGCCCTGCTCAAACCAACCTTTAGTGGGATTTTTAAAATCAAATCAATTATTCCGTCATCTAAACTGCCATAGGTTTAATTATTTTATTTTATGTCCATATTCTGTAAGCTCTAAGCCCACTGAAGACAGAAATGTTTATAAAACAGATAAATCTCCTTGCCATGGGGCACCTTATGGGGTATGGTGCCAGCTCATTACTATTTCTCATCAGTTATCCAAAAGAGTGAGGCCTGGACGGTCACTGTACAGCCATGACCCCACTGCTAAGACTGAACACAAGAGTAGTAACTTATGATCCAAGCAGAGACAACCTGAATCTCTTTCTGGTTATCTAGAGTTGGGACAAACACTAGACGGCATAAGAACAAATACACGTAAAAAGGAGGGAGCTGTGGAATGGCTATGTTCTGCCATGTGGACAGAGAACAGAGCTCACACATCCTCGGTCTAGTCCACTTCTGAGGTTTGTTTCAAGAAGACTTTCGTGACATAGAGTTCCAAGTTTGTCTGTGACAAACTGCACTTGCTTTGGATTCCTGGTATGGCACTGTAGGATCAGAACTGTACTGCGAACCACAAAGTCGACAGTTGAAACCCACCAGCTGCTCCTTGGGAACCCTCCATATTTGCTTTACATTGTTTATAACTAAATAATAGGAGCCCAGGAGGTCCAGTGATTAGTTAAGTGTTCAGTTACTAACCAAAAGGTTGGCAGTTCCAACCTATCAGGTGCTCTATAGGAGAAAGGTATGGGAGTCCACTTCTATAAAGATTGCTGTTGTTAAGTGTCATCTGTTCCGACTCATAGTGACCCTGTATAGGGTTTCCAAAAAGTGGCTGGTAAATTCAAACTGCTGACTTAAGTTCAAACAGACCTTGCAGTCTAGTGCTTATCCTATAGCCTTGGACTATCCAAGACTCCATAAAGAAAATACCCTTGAAAACCTGATTGGGCAGCGCTACTTTGTCCTATAGGGTTGCTCTGAGTCAGTATCAGCTAGATGGAAATCGGTTTAGATAACATATAATACTACTATACTCTCCCTTCCCAGCATGTTTTTAGAAGATCAAAGTGTTTTTAACCTTGATGCACATAATTATTGTGTTGTTAAGTACCATCAAGTTGGTTCCAACTCAGAGAGACCCTGGAGTTCCTGATCATATGATCCAAGCATGAGATGTGAAGTCTTGCCATCCTGGCTACTAAGGAGCATCTGGCTGTACTTCTTCCAATACAGATTTGTTTGTTTTTCTGGTAGTCTATGGTACAGAGATGTCAGCTTAAGGACTAGGGTGCGCCTGACCCAGGCCATTGTGTTTTCAATAGCCTCATATGGATGCGAAAGCTGGACAGTGAATAAAGAGGATCGTAGAAGAATTGATGCCTTTGAGTTGTGGTGTTGGAGGAGAATACTGAAAGTGCCATGGACTGCCAAAAGAACCAATAGATCTGTTTTGGAAGAAGTGCAGCCAGAGTGCTCCTTGGAGGCCAGGATGGCTAAGCTTCGTCTCTCCTACTTTGGACATGTAGTCCGGAGGAAACAATCATTGGAGAAGGATGTCATGCTGGGTAGGGTGGAGGGTCAGAGAAAAAGAGGAAGACCCCCAACAAAATGGATTGGCCAGGTGGCATCATTGATGGACTCGGGGGTGGCAGCGGTGGTGAGGTTGGCCCAGGATCGAGCATTGTTTCGTTCTGCTGTGCATGGAGTCGCTATGAGTCGGTTCCGACTCGATGGCACCTGACAACAACAACAATGGTACTTTTAGTATTCTCCTCTAACATAACTTAAAAGCATCAATTCTTCACCAGTCTTCCATTATTCATTGTCCAACTTTCACATGCATATGAGGTTACTGAAAATAACCAAGGATTGGATCAGGTGAATATTAGTCCTCAAACTGATTTCTTTGCTCTTGAACACTTTAAAGAGGACTTGTGCAACAGATTTGCCTAATGCAATATGTCATTTGACTTCTTGACTGCTGCTTCCATGAGTGTTGATGGCTGATCCCAGCAAAATGAAGTCTTTGACAACTTCAACTTTTTTTGTTGTTGTTGTTAAGTGCCGTTGAGTCGATTCCAACCTATAGAGACCCCGTACAGGGTTTCCAGGGAGCAGCTGGTGAGCTTGAACCACCGACCTTGCAGTTCAAACGACTTTGTAGTCTGACCCATTAGCCCACAGTGCCACATCAGGACTCCCCAATTTAAAAAACATTACTGAGAAGTTAAGACCCAAAGTACAACCTGGAGTATACTGCACCTGAATTTAGAGGCCATCTCAAGAATAGACTGGATGCATTCAACTCTAATGAATAAAGTACAAACAAGTTGTGGGTTTACATCAAGGATATTACATAAGAAGGACCATAATGAATTAAGAAGACAGAAAAGAAAAAAAAACCAAAAACGATGAAACAATGAGTGGCACACTAAGTATCAAAGGAAGATGGAAAGAATACCAAAATGACAATCAGCCATTTCAAGATGAAGCACATGATCAAAAAGCAATAGTCTAGAAAGAAGTCCAACCTGCACTGAAGGCATTAGTGAAAAACAAGGCTCCAGGAATTTATGGAATACCAAATGAGATGTTTCAATATATTCATGCAACACTGGGAGAGCCCACTCATCTATGACAAATGTGGAAGACAGCTACCTGGAAAACCAACTGGACAATATCCATGAGTCCATTCCAAAGAATGGTGATCCAATGGGTGAGGAACTTTTAAAATTATATCATATGCAAGTAAAATTATGCTGAAGATGACTCAAAAGTGGCTTTAGCAGTACAACAGGGAGCAGCCAGAAATTCAAGTTGGCTTTAGAAGTGGAACAATTTGTAAACAATACGATTACTGATGTCAGATGGATCTTAGCTGAAAGTAGAGAATACGAGAAATATGTATTTTACTAACCATGCAAAGATGTTCTATTGTGGATTATAACAAATTATGGATAACATTGCAAAGAATGGTATTCAAGAACACTTAATTGTGCTCATGAGAAACCTGTAATAGACCAAGAGGTCCATGTTTGAACAGAACACGGAACACTGCATGGTTTAAAATTAGGAAAGGTGTCCATCAGGGTTGTATCCTTTTTACCATACTTGGAGTCCTGGTATGGCACTGTGGGTTAATGCATCAGACTGCAAAGCCGTTTGAACTGCAAGGTTGGTGGTTCAAGCTCACCAGCTGCTCCTCGGAAACCCTGTACAGGGTCGCTATGGGTCGGAGTCAACTCAACGGCACTTAACAACAACATTCAATCTATGCTGAGCAAATAAACTGAGAAGCTGAACTATCTGAAAAAGAATGAGGCATCAGGATTGGAGGAAAGTTCATTAACAACCTGTGTTATGCAGGTGGCACAACCCTGTTTGTTCAAAGTGAAGAGGACTTGAAACACTTACTGATAAAGATAAAATAATACAGTCTTTCAGTATGGATTACAACTCAGTTTAAAGAAAACAAAAATCCTCACAACTAGACCAATAAACAGTATCATGATAAACAGTGAAAAGATTGAAATGGCCAAGGATATAATTTTATTTGGATCCACAATCAATGCCCATGGAAGCAGCAGTCAAGAAATCAAATAATGTATTGCACTGGGCAAATCTGTTGAAAAAGACCTCTTCAAAGTACTGAAAAACAAAGATGTCACCTTGACGAGTAAGGTGCAGGTGCACCTGGCCCCAAGCCTTGGTATCTTAAATCACCTCAATGCATGTAAAAGTTGGACAATGGATAAGACTGAATAACTGATGTATCTGAATTAGGGTGTTGTTAAAGAATATTGAATATATACACCATGGATTACTCAAACAACAAACAAATCTGTCTTCAGAGAAGTACAGTCAGAATGTTTCTTAGAAGCGATGATGGTAGACTTCATCTCACATACCTGGGATACATAAGGAGGATCCCTGTCCCTGAAGAAGAACATACTTGGTAAAGTAGAGGGTCAGCAAAAAAGAGAAAGATCCTCAACAAAGTGGGCTGAAACAGTGGCTGCAATGATAGGCAAAGGACTGGACAGTGTTTTGTCCTGTTGTACATTGTTGTGGCTAGGTGTTGTCAATTTGTTTCTGACTCATACTGACCCTGTATAGGGTTTCCAAAGAGTAGATAGTAGGTTTGAAATGCCAATCTTGTGGTTAGCTGTTCAGTGCTTATCCTACAACACCATTTGTTGTTGTTGTTAGGTGCCATCGAGTCGGCACTGACTCATAAAGCGACCTCATGCACAGCAGAACGAAACACTGCCTGATCCTGGGCCAACCTCACTACTGTTGCCATGCTTGAGTCCATCGATGCAGCCACTTGGCCAATCCATCTCGTTGGGGGTCTTTCTCTTTTTCTCTGACCCTCCACCTTACCACATCCTTCTCCAGCGACTGGTCCCTCCTGACAATATGTCCAAAGTATAGCAACCATTGTTGTTGTTGTTGTTAAGTGCTGTCGAGTCGGTTCCGACCCATAGCGACCCTGTACAGGGTTTCCGAGGGTGTAAATCCTTACGGGAGTAGAAAGCCTCATCTTTCTCCCGCGGAGCGGCTGGTAGTTTCGAACCGCTGACCTTAAGGTTCGCAGCCCGATTTGTAACCACTACGCTACCAGAGCTCCTTACCACATCCTTCTCCAGCGACTGGTCCCTCCTGACAATATGTCTAAAGTATAGCAACCATAGGGTTGCTATAAGTCAGAACTGACTATACGGCAAAACCTTCTTAGGCTCTTTAACTCCCCACCACCCCTACCTCTCTCATTTGTTACTCTCTTTAGCTATAGACTTCTGGGGCTATGAAAATTTAACATTCGCTTTATCAAATGTATTATGATTAGATGGAGTAAAGAGCTATTTAGTTTCTTCTGCTCTAAAACCACACTAGATCAGTGGCTTGCAATAGACTGAAAACAGAATTGCAAAAGGTTTATTAGATCAGATATGGGAAGATTTTTGCAGATTTGAAAGGATTCAATGTTTCATTAAGTTGACAAGTATTTGCTTGTGATTAAGTAGAAAGGTGAATTTTTACTCAGTGGTCACACACATATTTATCTCTATAGGGAGAGATGTTAAGATAGGTTCCCCTGATGCTTTAATGCCATTTACAATTACCTGAAGAATCTTGCTTTCAAAATTAACTATGCCCTTCCTCCTTAAATTCTGGCTTTCCCTCTCCACTGGCTTCTCTTCTTCTGCCTACACAGGCTTTCTCTTTACCAAAATTAACTTCTCCTAGAAGGTCCTTCAATTGTCCTTTATTTCTCAGTTGAACTTTCTAAAGAAGCAGTGTGGATCTGCTGCCTTCTACTTACTAACTTGTGTGCCTTAATTCTGGCAAATGCCCATTGATCCCTTTCTCCCAACTTAACCTGATGGCTGCAGCCACAGCTAATTCTTATCATTGAGCAATTTAGCAAAAGGTGTTTCTTTCTCTGAATGCTAAAGCCCTATGGGCACAGAGCTTGTTACCAAGCCACTCCCTTCAGCCAGATAACCCTCCTCAAGGAAAAATTCTGGGAGTCCTGCCAACAGCCTTTCCTCATCCTCACTTTTCTGGTTTTATTTCACACAACTGACCGCCATCTTGAAACTTTCCTACCTTTTCTTCTCTGGGCTGATTCTTTTGTCTCATTTGGTAAATTTTCTTCTTTACGTGGACTTATTACAGGGTATAAGCTTTGGCCCTTTATAATTCCGTTTTGCTGCTTACTCATCAATCTCTCATTGAAAACTTTGTTTTAATTACTACCGCTATTAACACCACACCTAAATTTACATATCCAACTATTTACTGATTATTTACACTCAAACTTGTTTAAGAGTGAGTTAACTATTTTAGGGATATTATAAAAATAGGGCTTCCAAGTCTATAGTACTATTGTTGCAAAGTTAATACATCTCTTTGACTATCTAAGAAGAGTTTGAGGTAAAAGAATTCTGGCTTCATTCACCCTAAGACAAAGTTGAGAAGGGCTAAGAAGGAATGGAAACACATGGAAGAAGTGGGATGTTATTACATTGTGAGGATTACAATCAATGAGATAAAACAAAAGGTGTATAAATTGTGGAATGTAAAACTGATTTGTTCTATAAGCCTTCATCCAGTTCACAGTAAGAATTAAAAAAACTGTATTACGAAAGAGTTACATAACACCATCATTCCAGTGATACTAATGACTACCTATAATTTTGGTGTGGCGTCCTGGCTCAAGCTAATAGCAGCTCCTTGGAAACCCTATACAGGGTCACTGTGAATCAGAACCAACTCTATAGCACTTAAAAACAACAACATCATAACAGAAGGTTCACCTGTGGTGAGGACATGAATTATTTGAATTCTTTGGTGAGTTGAATATTAAATTATGTGGCGGGGCAGAAGGCAGGGGGAAGTCACAGAAAATGACCTTAGAAATCTCATACTTGTGTCAATTTACAAATCTACAACAGCAAATGGCAACCATGCCAAAAGATTTTTCTTAGTCCTTAATTTCCTTGTACTAGCTCAGTACTGACTCGATGGTACCTAACAACAACAACAACAACAGCTCTGGTAGTGCAGTGGTTATGAGTTGGGCTGCTGAAACCTCAAGGTCAGCAGTCGAAACTACCACTGTTTGTGGGAGAAAGATGAGTCTTTCTGCTCCCATAAATATTTACAGCCTCAAAAACCCTATGCAGGGTCACTATGAGTCGGAATCAACTCCACAGCACACCACCACCACCACCACCATTTCATAGTCCTGGTGTGGCATTGTAAAGTAAAGCACTGGACCACAAGGTCTCTTTGAATGCTAGGTCGGCAATTCAAACCTAGCAGACACTCCTCAGAAACCCTATACAGGGTTACGTTGAGTCATAACTGACTAGACGACACTTAACATTTCATAGTACATAGTTCTCTGGAAAACTCTAGGAAAACTGAGGCAGTTATTCCCATAATATATCTCCTCCAACCTTCCTTCTGTATCAACACTTAATTATTCTTAGTCACTCTGGCACAAAATTTCATACATGACTATTTCTTTTATATACAATAGCTAAAGCATACACCAGCCTTACCAATTCTTCCCTTGAAATGTTTCCCAAATAAAGCTTTTTTTTTTCTTTCATCTCCCAGACCTACAGCAACTATTGTTAACTTTCCCACAGTCAGGAAAAGTCTGAGTCTTGCTCAACTGAGACCTTTTAGAACCCCAGAAACAAAACTGACCCTTGAGGATAAACTGCCTCCTGCCAATCCAAGCTGCATGCCAGGTTAAGGTTTCAAGAAGGCTATTTATCATGTCACCATCTTGGCAGACCATAGAATGCAGCAACCTAACTAGATATGAAATATCCTTCACAATCTGTCAACAATGTATCTTTCACACTAAACCTCAAACTACTTTCTACACAAATCATCTACTTTGAGCATTCAGGTGTACTTGCTCTTTTCCAAAAGGCCTCAGTTGTTTTAATCTTTGATAGCAGCCCCATACCTTCCTGCTCCTATCTTTTGGAGTTTTAACTGTCAAAGATCCAGACTCAAATCCCACTTTTTCTATGAAACATTTTCTCCTTTTCCTTAAATTAAAAAAGAAAGAAATAAGAAAAGCCTAACTACCTCTGGGACCATTCACTTGACATTTTGCCATGTACTGTGACTTATTGTCACCTCCAAAATTAGATGCAAATTAGAGAAATAATGCTATATTTTTTTCACATTGGCAACCTGGGACATAATACATTATATCTTATATCCTTAATTCCATAAAACAAAAGGATTTCCTTTAAGTATCTGCACGAGAATAACTCATGCTATAATGGATTCAAGGAGCCCTAGTGGCACAGTGGTCAAGCACACGGCTATTAATCAAAATGTTAATGGTTCAAGCCTAACAGCCACTCTGCGGGAGAAAGATGCCACAGTCTTGCTTCCATAAAGATTACAACTTGGCTACCCTATGCTGCTGCTGTGTGCCATCAAGTTGGTTCAGATTCATAGTGGCCCTACACAGTGTTTCCAAGGCTATAAATCTTTATGGGAGAAGAAACCCTCATTTTTCTTCTGAAGAGTGGTTGGTGGATATGAACTGCTGACCTTGCGTTTAGCAGCCCAATGTGTAACCCACTACGCTACCAGGGCTCCTTTGGAAATCTGATAGGGCTGTTCTTTCCTGTCCTATAGGGTTACTATGAGGTGAATTCGACTCAACAACAATTAAAATAAAAAAATAATGGATCTACAATCCTAAAGCCAAAATATCTGCTTAAAAAATTTAAACTTAGATGTTGATCAGATGTGCGAGCGAGCAATCTGTATACTGTACCTCCCTCAAACTGAGAAGTCTTGTTTTCAACAATATATCAGATAATACTGCTTAACAAGGGCATTACCACCATTAAGCTTCAGGCAGTCCTAAAAGCTTTCTAAGAATTAAACCAACCGAGGGAGTAAACACACACACAAAAGAAAATTTTTAGGATGAAATGAGAAAACTTTCCCTGTGAAACAGCAATCTGTAGACTATCAGGAAAATAGCGATAGAGTTTAGCCACTTCGACAAAAACATTTCAAAGGTAATAATTTTATCTTTTTTAAAAAAATGCATTTACAATGTAATTGTGTTAGAATCACAGAACTGTACTGATAATCAATTTTGACTTAACAATTACTCTAGATATAACTTAATCAGTTCACTATATCTATCTCAAATCTATTTTCATTCCTACAAAGAAAATGCTTTTCATTTTGTCATTTAGAAAGATTCTTATTAGTTAGGTACTTACTGTCAGCTGATGAGTTGAGTTCCGTCTTTATCTTCGACTTTTCAAGATCTTCTTTGTATTCCTTCTTAAGTAACTTCACTATCTTTTTGCTATAACTTGATTTCTTCACTTTGAAAACTTCTTCATTTTCTTAAAAAAGCAATTAAAAAAAAAAGTCTTTAAGAACCATTTTTCGGAAAATATTTTCCTGTCTAACTTCTACATGGATTTTATATGGTGTTCAGATAGCCAAATCCCATATTTACTTAATTTGACATTATTTCCAATATGCCATTGTTGTTATTGTTGTTAGGTGCCAAGGAGTTGGTACCAACTCCTAGCGACCCTATGCACAATGGAAAGAAACACTGCCCAGTCCTGGGTCAACCTCACAATTGTTGCCATGCTTAAGCCGACTGATACTGCAACTCTGCCAATCCATGGCTCTCAAAAATTGAGGTCAAGTTCATAAATTAATCTAGAGTAATAAGGATTTGATCATTTTTGAAGAGAAGTAACACATGCAACACCACAAACATTACTTAAATAATTTATTTCAGGGTGAAAAGTATTCAAAATACTTCAGAAAAAGCACTCACTCACCAAATTATTAAATAATCTGAAACAAAATATTCAACATCAAAACTTGTTAAATTTAAAGAATTCTACATTTATCACAAACTAACACACATTATTTTCAAGTCTAAGCTGAGGACAAATTTCTTAAATTGTTGCTACTTTAATTTGAAAATTTAAAAGCCAAACACAAACCACTTTATCAAGTAATTCCTGAGTACTCAAAAACAAAATTCTGACTGCATACCTAACAAAATGAAACAAATCAAAGAAAGACAAAGGTAATTTACCTACCTTTGGGAAACTTGAAAATATCTCACATCAAGACGCAAATGAGTCATAATTTCTTTTTTCACAATGAAATTAGTAGTGTATATATATATACATGTAAGGAGCTCTCTGGTGGCATAGTGGTTACAAGTTGGGCTGCTAACCTCACGGCCCCAGCAGTTCGAAACTACCTGCAGTTCCGCGGGAGAAATATGAGGCTTCCTGCTCCCGTAAAGATTTACAGCCTTGAAAACTCTGTACAAGGCCGCTATGAGCGGGAATCGACTCGACAGCACTTAACAACAACAACATACATACATACATGTAGGGAGTGGTGGCTCTGTACGATAAGCGCTGAAATGCGAACCACAAAGTCGCTGGTCCGAGCCCACCAGTAGCTCATCAGAAGAAAGATGAGGCTTTCTGCTCGCTAAAACCCTATACAGGGGCCTCTGTGAGTCCGAACCGACCCAGGACCCAAGGCACTTAAGAGAAGACTCACACACATAACTGATCGAGAAGTGAAAAGATTTAGGCTCGTTTGTTTAAGACCAGAAAGGACTGCTGGTGTGGCGATGTGGGTTAATGAGCCAGACTGCAAAGCCGCTTGAAATGCACGGTCGGCGGTTCAAGCTCACCAGCTGCTCCTCGGAAAACCTATACAGAGTCGCTATAGGTCGGAATCGACTCAACGGCACTTAACAACAAAGACCAGAACTCTAACTCCACTGAAGCCAGATCTTTCTCCGGTACTAGATACGCAGCTTTGTAGTACTATTACATGGTCTTTCTTTGTCGTTCCAAAAAATCAATGCGAGGAAAGCTGGACATCTGTTACCTTTATGGGGACACTAAAGCTCAGCGATTTCAAGGGACTGGCCCAAGGTCACTGTTATGAGTGGCTGCAACTGCGGGTTTCGGTTCCCAAAGCTCTTAGCAAACTACCGGCCTGTCAAAGATGCTTGGAGAGAGCACCCAAAAGGCGCGTGCACAATGACCTGCAGAGTTCAGAAAGGTAACAAGAACAGTCAGGGAGGGCTAACTTTCCACTTAAAAACTAAAAAATGAACTGAGCTTAGAATAAGAAAAATGCACAGGATGGCTAAGAGTAGGCGGTTGATAAGAAAAGGCTGGCGGCAACGCGGGAACACGTCCCCGGATTGAGCAGAAGGCCGGAGGCGGGGAAAGATACGCAGCCTGCTCGGCTGAAAGCCTGAGCGCGGGGTCTGGGGTTCCAGGGTAGGTATGTGGGGGTCCTGAGCCCTGAAACACAACACGAAGGGGACGCCGGCGGTTACCTTCCTCCTCGTCCTGGAAACTGAGCAGGCTGGCGCGGGGCACCTCTTTGTTCTCGCGCGGCCTCTTTCGCGGCTTCAGGCCGTTGCCGGGCTCGGCACTGGCCAAAAACCCGACCCCGGGCTCGGGCCCGAGACCCGGTATCATCGTGGAAGACGGCGGCAGCCCTGGGGCCAGCAGAGACTCCCCCGCGGGGCCCCTGTCGCCGGCGCCAGGGCCCGATTCTTCCCCGGTGCTCGGCGGCGACAACAGCGGCGGCGGCTCCTGCTCCTCATCACGCTCCCGTTCCTCCTCTTCGGAGTCATTCCGCTTGCGCACGTTCACCCGTCGGGCCTTTCGGAACATCCCCACGGCTGGCACGGCGGTCTACACCCGCTCACCCACAGTGGCCCCGGCAGCGCCGAGTTCGCCACGGCGCACGCGCGCTCCCCTCAGCTCCAGCCGGGTTCTGTCGCCCCACTCGCTACGGCGCGCCCCGCAGTGCGCATGTGCCCGCGCTCTCATGAACTTTTAAGTACTTTAGGATGGCTGTGGTATTCTCGCGAGAATGTCAATTCTGGGCTCTGACCTCTATCGGCCTGGAGGACTATTCGCAGGGAACTCTGGGACTGGGAGGCTGTCTCCTGACGGCCAGTGGGTCACTGTGGATCATAAAGATGAAAGGGAAGAGTTGGAAGTTCGAATGCCCATCTCGGCTGCAGTCCCTGCAATGCGTCTTCCGCACTTCTGCAGTGTAGTCACGTGAGGACACCTCCCGCCTAGTCCTCGGAGGTGCGAGTAGAGGGGAAGCAGAGGAGAAGCAGTGTTTGGACAGGGAAAATATGATACAAAAAGTGAAATGTACCTTGACATGTTGCTGACTGGCAAGTACGTCTACTGAGCAATACTTAGTATTTCTACAGCTTTGTAGCTGCAAATCACTTTCACAGATATTTAATTTCATTTATGTTACCTTGTGTTATTCCCCCTCCCCCCCATTAAAAAAAACGAAAGCAAAAATGTTTTCGAAAGAATACCAAGTTTTCTAGCAGATATAGGACTAAATACGTTCCTAATAATAGTTACCATCAGAAATAGAAGGAAAGTAGACATGGGGATAGGAGGGGTTGTGAGAGATTTCTGAATTGCCATACGTGGGTACTGCCTTAGCTGGGAAGACTAACAGGGTAATAGCTTCTGAGGTTGAATTCACACGCTTTATACATTGCCTTTCCAAACTTGTTGCCATTGACATTTCCTTTGTATGTTCACACAATGTACACGTGGCTACATTTTTATGTTTCAAAACTCAAAGCTAACAAAGAACATTTTGTTGTTGTTAAGTCACATCATCAAGTCAATTCTGACCCATAGGGAGCCTGTATAGGGGTTCCAAGGAGCGACTGGTGAGCTTGAACCACCTACCTTGCAGTTCAAACTGCTTTGCAGTCTGACACATTAGCCCACAGCACCACACCAGGACTCACATTTAGTATAGTGAAAAAAGTCTACCCATGTCTCAAAGCCTTCCAGTTCAACTCTTTGGAGGCAAGAGGCAGTGTTAACAAATAGTTCCTTATATTCTTCAGAGATATGAGCATAAAAGCATACAAATACCTGCTTTTAGACTTTTCATGAATTACCTCTTTTTTACATAGATGGTGTATGAACTGCATTGTTAGCATCTGACCATACCTATACCTTGTTGAGTCTATCTTTTTTACCCAACTGCATACTGATCTACTGTCAGAACATACTGTCAGCTGTTGTTAGGTGCTGGCTGAGTCCATTTTGACCCTATGTACAACAGAATAAAACAATGACCTGTCCCATTTTTGCGCCCATTGTGTCAGTCCACCTTATTGAGAATCTTCTGTGTTTTTGCTCACCTTCTCCATGATGTTCTCCTGGGTCTGGGCCCTTTTGACATGTCCAAAGTGAGATGAAGTCTTGCCATCATCGCTTCTAAGGACCATTCTGGCTGTGTTTCTTTAAAGACAAGATTTGTTCATTCCTCTGGTGTATTTTCAATATTCTTTGCCAACACCATAAATTAAAATGCATTCTTCTTAGGTCTTCTTTATTCATTGTCCAGCTTTCTCATGCATATGAGGCAATTAAAAATACCACAGCTTGAGTCAAGTATACCTTAGTCCTAAAGGTGATAGCTTTGCTTTTTAATATGTTGAAAGATTTTTGCAGGAGATTTTCCCAGTGCAATTCATGATTTGAACTCTTGACTGGGGCTTCCATGGGCATTGATTTATATCTAAGTAAAATGAAATCCTTGACAACATGAATCTTTTCTCAATTTATTGTGATGTCCAGTTGTGAAGACTTTTGTTTTCTTTACATACTGTAGTGAAGTCCATACTTGAGGTTATTATTTTTTATCTTTATCAGTAAATGCTTCAATTCCTCTTCATTTTCAGCAAGCAAGATTGTGTCATCTGCATATTTCAGGTTGCAAATCAAGGAGGAAGTCCAAGGTGCATTGAAGGAATTGGCAAAGAACAAGGCACCAGGAATTGATGGAATAAACATTGAAATCTTTCAAGAAAGTGAGGCGGCACTGGAGGCACTCACTCATCTCTGCCAAGAAATTTGGAAGACAACTATCTGGCTGACTGATTGGAAGAGATCAGTATTTGCACCCATTCCAAAGAGAGGTGACCCAACGGAATGCGGAAATCATCGGACAATCTCTTTGATATCCCATGCGAGTAAAGTTTTACTAAAGGTAATACAGAAACGGCTACAAGCATACATTGACAGAGAACTTCCAGAGGTTCAAGCCGGATTCAGAAGAGGATGTGGAATGGGGGATGTCATTGCTGATGTCTGATGGATCTTGGCTGAAAGTAGAGAATAGCAGAAAGATGTTTACCTGTGCTTTATTGACTACACAAATTGCTTTCGATTGTGTGGATCATGACAAGCTATGGACAACATTGCGAAGTATGAGTATTCCGGAACACTTCATTGTGCTCATGAGGACTGTACCTGGACCAAGTGGCAGTTGTTCGAACAGAACATGGGAACACTGAATGGTTGAAAATTAAGGTGTGTGACAAGGTTGTATTCTTTTACCATACTTATTCAACCTATATGCTGAGCAAATAACACGAGAAGCTGTGTTATATGAAGAAGAACGTGGTATCAGGATTGGAGGAAGACATATTGTTAGGAGGGACCAGTCACTGGAGAAGGAAATCATGTTTCGTAGGGTGGAGGGTCAGAGAAAAAGAGGAAGACCCCTAGCCAGATGGATTGGCAAAGTGGCAGCATCAGTGGGCTCAAGCGTGGCAACAATTGTGAAGTTGGCCCAGGATCGGGCAGTGTTTCGTTCTGTTGTACATGGGGTCGCTATGAGTTGGTACCAACTCTGTGGCACCTAACATCAACAACAATGAATCTTCCTCCAAATATGATGCCGAATTCTTTTCCATATAGTTCAGTGTCTCTGGTTATTTGTTCAGCATACAGGTTATTTAACTAGTCCCATAAAAATGGATATTTACGTTATTTCCAATCTTGCTATTATAATCAATGCTACAATGAAAAAAAAAAAAAAAAGGAAAGTTTGTCACATCTTTAGGATGAGCTAGAATTGGAATTGCTCGGTCTGATGTAGTATCTGTAATTGTGCCAGTACTAAGTTATTCTTTAAAATAGTTGTGCCAGTTTGTAGGCTTACCAGCACAATATGTGAGTGCTCATTTGCCATCACAATACCGTTAAAGTTTCAGTAAGATTTAAGTTCCAAATTGAGGCAGAAGAGCCCAGACCCACCAAGAATTTCTGTTTTACACATACTTGCTTCTTTTATCTGGATTTCTTTGATGGGATTGACATTTGCCCACCTAGGACCCTTCTCTGGAAACTGCAAAGGTGACCTGACCTAAGAGCATCCTGTATATCACTTTCCTTCAGTGAACTGGAAGAGTTAGTAACTGACTTGTTTTCTACTCTCAATTCTTATATTCTGGCTGTTCAGCATTGATTCCTGATCTGATTCCAACAGAGTGTTGCATGGTGAAATTAATCTCCCATTTCTTCTATGGATGATTAAATTGTGCCAGGTCAGCCTCCAGACACCGGAGCACTGAAACATATTTACAGTAGATGATTAAAGTAGAAGTAGCAAAGATAAGTTCAGGAAGGAAAGTATGTTAAGTGTTTTGATCTGAAACTTCAAAAGACTCCCAACTTTAAAATATTGGTGATTGGATGTGGAAAATGGATAGAAGGAGAAAATACTTGTTATTTTAAAAAGAGTAAAAATGTTAAGACAAATGTATTTAGAGCTTTGCCAATCTACCTGTTCACATAATTAAAGGGCAGAGTTACACACTTAAAAATGACCATTTCACTCAATCAAGCAAAAGATCTTGTACCAGAGATTGCATAACTTGTGGATATTAAATTCCGGAAGCTGAATAGCTGCTTTAATTTAATTAATGCTTGTTAGAAAGGAGTCCCAGTGTGGTGCTGTGGGTTAATGTGCTGGACTGCAAGGTCGGTTTGGACCCATGGTCAGTGGTTCAAGCTTACCAACTGCTTCTTGGAATCTATACAGGGTCGCTATGAGTTGTAACCGACTCGATGGCAGTAAACAGCAAGTTTATTGCCAGAAAATATTTAATAAAGGACTTCTGTTATTTCAGTGGAGTTCTGGTATGGTGCTGTAGGATAAGCACTGGACTACTAACCACAAGGGCAGTGACCCACCAGCTGCTCCTTGGAAACCCTAAACACCGTCACTATAAGTAGGAATCCACCTGATGGCACTAAACAAAAATATCAACAATGCTTTGAGTACTAAATTGGCTAATATGTTCAGTGAATATAGTATGTCATCACCAATTTATATTAGAGTGGTGTTAGTTTTCTGGGAAGACAAAGACTGCTTATTGTGCAAAGCACCAACCAATATTCTACAAATCAGTAAGTTCAGTACTTTCTAAAAGGTCATGTTTTCAAGCAATAACACAGATTAAAATTTTCATCAAATTATGACTTTACATGGATTAATCAATTCATAAGTCTGGCAAAATAGGCATATTAGTTTAGTTTGGCTTGCTGACTCAGTATTAAAAAAAAAAAAAAAAAAGGTAACCAAATGCAGATCCAGGAAAAAGTAAAAGTTTTTTACTACAGCTACCAGATTAGCTATGGACAACATTGCGAAGTATGAGTATTCCGGAACACTTAATTATACTCATGAGGAATCTGTACATGGACCCACAGGCAGTTGTTCGAACAGAACAAAAGAAGACTGAATGGTTTAAAATTAAGAAAGTTGTGCAACAGGGTTGTATTCTTTCACCATGCTTACTCAACCTGTATGCTGAGCAAATAATACGAGAAGCTGGGTTATATGAAGAAAAACATGGCATCAGGATTGGAGGAAGACTCATTAACAACCTGCAGTATGCAGATGATACAACCTTGCTTGCTGAAAGTGAAGAGGACTTGAAACATTTACTGATGAAGATCAAAGAGCACAGCCTTCGGTATGGAT